TGCATAGATCATATCTTCACTCTTCGACAGATTCTAGAACATAGACACACTTTTCGGCGTCCAACAATTGTCATATTTCTTGACTTGAAGGCGGCCTTCGACTCCGTGGATCGAAAGGTACTATGGCAATGTCTGACTGTGAAGGGAGTGCCAAGAAAGTACATTGCACTAATCAAGGCACTCTATTCAAACTCACGTAGTCGTGTAAGGGCTTATGGGGAATTGTCATCTGAATTGGTAACAACCAGTGGTGTCCGACAGGGATGTCCACTTTCCCCATTTCTGTTTAACTTCATCATAGATATGCTAATGGAAGTATCCTTAACTGAACGTAGTGACTTAGGAATCGACTTGTTACCAGGGAATAATCTTATGGACTTAGAATATGCAGATGACATAGTCCTGTTAGGGGAGGATGCTGACAAAATGCAGAGTCTTCTGAACACCTTGAGCAGCAATCTTCGTATGTTTGGCATGCGATTCGCCCCTGCAAAATGTAAGATGCTGCTACAGGACTGGACTACGTCAACTCCTAACTTAGTGATAGGGAGTGAAGTGATAGAACATGTTGACCACTTCACCTACTTGGGAAGTTGTATTAGCACCAACGGACTGATTGGCGATGAAATCTCAGCACGGATCCGAAAAGCTCGAGCTGCTTTCGCTGACTTACACCATCTCTGGCGTAGGCGTGACATCCGGTTATCAACCAAGGGACGTGTGTACTGCTCATCAGTTCGCTCCGTCCTTCTCTATGGCTCTGAAACATGGCCAATACGCGTTGAAGACATGAAAAGGTTGACTGCTTTCGATCATAGATGTCTGCGATCTCTGTCTCACGTTAGGTGGTTTCACAAGATAAGTAATGTTGACGTTAGGCGTAGAGTGTTGGGCAAAGAGGGAAAATCAATCGACGAGGTTATAAAGTTACATAGACTAAGATGGCTAGGTCACGTGGTGCGCATGCCTAACCACCGCCTCCCCCGACGGGCATTGTTAGCTGATATAGGTTCAGGTTGGAAAAGAGCCAGTGGTGGCCAAACAAAAACATGGCATCAATCCATGAAATCCTTGACAGTTAAACTGAGTCAGGTAGGGAGATGCAGACTCCCGGGTTGGGGCCCTCGGGACTCTAGGAATCAATGGCTGGAGACAATAGGTGACATGGCTCAAAATCGTTGTCAATGGCGCAGATGTATTCAATCTCTGTAATCTTTCATATTCCTTTCTACCATTACCCATTCTGTTTCACTCTTATATCTGTCAAACTCTATAAATTCTCTTCACTCATCTTCTTGTCTACCTCTGTGCTATTTGGAAGGTGGCAACTCGAACTGCTGCACTTCGGTGCCAAGTTCTATGTTGAATCCAGACAGACAGACAGACAGATAAACTGATCACTTAAGTTCATAAGCAAAATATATCCCATAATAGTCACGGGAAGATTGATGTAAACCAGTGGAGCTTTCAAAGTCTTCAATCCTATAATTGTACTTAGATATGTCGAGATGTGAGGAAACGAGGGAGATTTCGTAGGTAGAAAAGAGGTCGTTAAATTAATTTGCAGGATATCAAACGGATAACTTTATTGGTGTTCAGCACTTCATACTTCTCAACTTAACATAGAGAAAACCTGAGTGCTCGCACACTGGTCTGACTTTTCATACGTAAGATAGTGCTACAGGTCCAGTCTCCATCGACCCCTTGTTCGAGGACAGAGAACAAAGTAACTGAGTATTTTGATGACATCATTTGTTAAGTAGGTTGAGTGATATTAAGGTTAGGCATTGGTCGAGTACTAGGTAAGGAGGGAAAATCAGTAGAAGAGGCTGTGAAGTTGCACCGTTTGAGACAGATAGTTAGGTCATGTGTTACGCATGCATGATACCATGGCCTTCCCCAACAGATGGGCAATATTAGCCGACACAAGGTGGATGCATCAGGTTGGAAAAGATTTAGACACTGGTGGTCAAATCAAAATATGGCTTCACACATTGAAATCCACAACAGTTAGTTTAAGCCAGCCAGTTACTTAGGTAGGTGTAGACTTCTTGACTGCCTGGTTGGTGTTCTTGGGACGGTAAAAACCAATGGCGGCTGGATACAATCGGTGATATGCTTGGCTCACAGTGATCGTTCTCGGTGATGGCTGGCTGACTCAGATGCATTTTCTCATTATGATTTATCATATCGAATAAAATTAGATTGTTCTTTCGTATTACTTCTGTTTTCCGTCACAATTGCGTTTATTATTTCTGTCTCTTTTGAATTTCTCTTTACTCTCTTCTCTTCTGTTTTGTGTGTGGTAAGTGGAGTGTGGCGACTCGAACTGCTGCACCTCGGTGCAAAGTTCTACGTTGAAACCAACCAGTTATTGCCGCTCTTTCTTCAGCTGACTGGATATTATGGCTGGTATCCTTCTGATGAGTCTTGTCGTCAGTCTCAGGTACACATGTAGATTTTTCTGCCTTAAATACGGACTTTGTGTTCTAACCAAGTTGGCATCGTTCGAGCTTCAATGTTGCCTGTTTTCAATGTTTGTTCAATCGTAGGCACATACATTTATGTACTAGAGTCGATTGATTACTCAACTCAAACTCGAACAGTTGCAGTCGTGTAAAAGATCATGGAAGATTGTTATCTGAAGCGGAGGTAGCCAGTGGTGTCGCGTGAGAAGGAATGCCTGATGTCATTATCATTTAATTTCATCAGAAGTGTTCTGGTGTCCCAGTTGCCCCTTCGAAATACCGTGTTATCCGTTCTAAGACTAAGTTGAGATAAAATTAAGAATAGTCAGAGCAAAACGTGGCACCACCAGTCCATAAAGTCTTCAATTTTTTCAGTTTAAACCACGTAGGAATATGTTTGGACCGCTTGACTGGATCCCCAAGAAACTAGGAATTAATCATTTGTATTTGTTGGTAACATACCTTAATAGCTTTCTCAGGCGCATTTGCTCCTTGTAACCTTCCAAATCTGTTTTTTTTTTCATAAAATTTTCTGTTCTAAAGAAAAGAAAAGACTTTCAGCGAACAGTTAGTGCTCTTTTCAGCGATGTCATTCTTAAGTTGTACAATCGCATATATGCACATATAATTTTCTTAGCTACAAAATGCATATTTCAAAAATTTATTATTAGGATTGTAAACTCTAGTCAACAAATTACATGATATAGAGGAGACGTTTACCACGTAGAAACAAATAAAATTATTTGATACATTTATTCCCCTTAAGGAATTTGAATTGTGAGTTTTAGAAATAAAAAATTTCGTTAATGGGTTAGAACCTAAAGTAAGATTATGTAGACAAGTTGAGTGACGTAATCTGATTGACAACGGGGTTGAGTAGAGCTCAGCTGAAAATTAAAACCGAACTAAAGTTAGGTTAGCAGCAGTGGTAATAAGGGTTGGGGGTGGGAAGAAACTACTATACAATTAAGAAACAAACAAGCTAAAAAATGATGAAACAAAATTACGTATTTGGTGTTAAGATAGATCTGCAAGATTCCCACTTATTCTGTAGATGACTTCGAAGTTCCTCTGTGGGTGGGTTAGCTTGGTGCTCCGATTCTACGAGGTTCTCCAGAATAGAGAATGGGGAGCGGCCGCTTTTCCTGCCTTATAAGTCCATGACTGTGGGTAAGTGTTGGATGATACGGTTGAATAGAAAACGCTGACTACTGCCGATATACCTAACTCCACACAAGCAGGGGAATTTACCGTTCTACCGTAAATCTCCCTTCAATTGTAATTTCATCGTTTCTTTCCCCTCTGTGTAACAATAGGCAAGAAACGGAAGCCAAGGTATATTTTCAAGTGATGAAACTGCTGTATATATATATATATATGTCTACAGTTTATAGCTGCTTTTATGATGCTGTCATCCAGCGGTGGTGATGGTTGTGGTGATTGTGCAAATTGAAATGTTATACTTTTTAATGTTGCAGCTTGAATGAACGAATTCACTTTTGTGCGTCACATTTCTGCGTCACGTTATTCATTCACTTTAGAATGTGTATATAAGTGTATATGATTTGACTTGATACATCTATTCTTTAGAACAGTAGTCAATAACAGTATTAGTGTGTTTTAAATAATTTCGATTCGTTCAGTAAGATCAATGGAATTACCACAGTTCATTAGAGATGCTTAAATAAAAATGATAATAAGAATAATACTTGTACCAAAAATACGGTGTGGAATCAAGCTGTAATCAAAAATAAAAAAAATAAAAATAGCAAGTAGAATATCAACTAAAATTAAGAAAATATGTAGGTGAAGTTAAGGGGATTTGTTGGTATGCGGTAAATGATTTTGAAAGCCACCTTGTTAACAACAGTCTTCTGTTCTGTATCTACTGCAAGATGAGATAGAATAGTGCTGCTATATGAATGGATTTTGTTCGCCCTTTACTTAACCGACCACTGTGCAGGATGATGTTCGGAAATTCGACGATAAACGTACGTACGGCCTATGTGTAACTGGCTCAATCCACAGGAGCAGTTAACTTGGTAGATACACATAGAAGTGGCAAAAGTAGGCAGTTTGTCTTTTACTCCCGAACGCTAAATAAAGGTAGGTGGTTTTGAGGACACAGCGTAATTCAGCAGCAGAAAAGGCTCTTTTTACCGCATTACTAAGGCGTTGTGTTAGTATCTCGCTGATGTTATCCCTGAGGAACTGAATTTGTAGGAATGAGGTCTTTTTAGGAACTGTCGGCACTTCGGGCTGCATCTTTAATCAACTGTGATTCCATTGATCTTACTCAACGAATCGATATCTATTCTTTGTTAATTATTGTTTACTGTATTTATTTTATTTATCCTTTCAAGATCATTCATATATCTTCATATATCCTAAAATTTGAATTTCCATCGTGTTGGTGATTCACTCGAAAGCAAATTTAACTGGGTGACAGTAAAAGGGAGAGAGTTTTCGTACAGTCGGAAGAAACACTCAAGCTTATTACTACTATTATTACTATTGTTATTATTGTTAATTATGGAGTCCGTTAAACAGGCTGTTACACGTACTGCTCTAGGATTAGCTGAATTTGTAATACCTGTATTAAAAGCTTCTAAATTTCGAGAAACAGGTGTTATAACTCCTGAAGAGTTCGTAGCCGCAGGTGACTTTCTAGTGTATCACTGTCCAACCTGGCAATGGGCAACTGGTGATAAAAATGTTCGTCCCTACCTACCAAAAGAAAAACAATACTTGGTTACTCGAAGTGTACCTTGTTACAAAAGAGTGAAACAAATGGAAGATCACAGTGAAGAGTTTGAAAAGGTTTTAGAAGAGGAGGATGGTGAAGGTGGTTGGGTAGATACACATCACTATGCAGCTAAGTACGGTAAGTGTGTGTGTGTGTTTCTGTGTGTTATATCATATTAGAGTTTAATTCTTCATTCATTCTTATTGTATTGTCTGTTTTCTGCCATCCTTTTCAGCTGGCTGACCCCACGATTGCTCATAATCTCTCATCTCCTCATTCTCCTACTAGCCACACGATCTCTTCCATATCATCCTCCTACCGACGACGACCCACTCGCCCGTCGCTTCCCATTCGGATTCCACTTGAGTGATTGGCGGCCTGCATTGTTCGCGATTTCATTCAACGGTTTCTTCAATGTATTCGCGATCAATCCATCTCCATTTTCGCCTACATATTCGTTGAGCGATCGGCTGTTGGTTGGTTGGTTTGTTCCGCTGCAGAGTTTCTTGTTGATGGCTGGCTGGCTGGCTGGCGATTTGATCCTCAGTATGGAGTCAGCCAGCCAGCCAAGGTGGCAGCTGTTGATAAAAGTCTGCAACAGGCTGTTGGAAATCCTTTTCGTGACTCACTGGCCACGTTTCTGATTCGTATAGAAGAACCGACTGACTGACTGACTGACTGGACATTGGTGTTGAAAATGTGAATCTTGTTGTTTATGTTGAGTTGAGGCGGAGGGGAGTGTAGAAGATTTCCACACAGGTTTCTGGTTGATGTAGGCGCGCGTATCTCGCCTTTCCGATTCGAACTGACTGGCTGGCTGGCTGGCTTCGACGTCTTCATCCGTTCCCACTGCCTCTGGTTGAAACGATGCTTCCTAGCCAGATAAGTGAAGGCAGGAAGTAACCTGTGTTAAATCTCTATATCGCGTTGATGGTGATTGATGCTAGTCGTTGTTGTTGTCGTTGCTTTTCGTTGGTTATTTTCATCACCTCCGTCTCCATCTTCTCTATGTTCACCTGAGTGGAGTCGTGTCTTCGCTGTCAGCCAGCCAGCCAGCCAGCCAACCAATCGGTTGCCAGTTTTCACCTGCCTATAAGTCTTCTAGTTCGTGTGACACTAAACACAGGCCATCTGGGAAATCCAGATCTTCTAGAGTCTTCTTATCCGTGAGTCCAGGGTATTTCTGTCTCCTCTCTACCCACTCACAGTTTTCCGCATAATGCAGTCGCTATAATTAAGAATATCATCACTGACAATGGGCAGCCAGCCCGCTTGTCTCACTCCTGTATTCACTTTGAACGCCTAGCTGATTTTTGTGTTATGGATCACCTCACACGTGTCACTGTCATATAATCATCCGTTAAATGTACGCGTGTAATTGTTCTTGAATCAAATTGTGTATCTCTCTTGTTTACATCGTGATATTATTTAGTACTTATATTTCAATGCTGTTAAAGCATCTCTGATGCTCATTGACTGACATGTATTAAGGAAAGCTCAGTTTCTTCCATTTTGTTTTCAAGATATGTCATGGCTAGGTAGTGGAAAAACTAAACCATTGTTCAGCTTCTTCCACTTAAGTTCATGCAAATATCTTATTGATATAAGCATAAAACTTGGGCACTGTGGTCATGCAAATATCTGTTGGAAGCGGATTGCTTTTCATCTTTGTACATTTCTTACTGTGTAATACACTTTTTCACATCGCTCTACATATAAAGTGGAGTGTAGAATCTATAGTAGAAGACTTTTATATCGAACGTGGTGGTTAGGCTTGCATATCGCAATGAACCAACAAGCTACACTGGTTGGAACTATTGTTCCTACAGGTCCTACCATACCAGGAAGGTGGTTAAGATAGCGATTAAACTAAAAGCAGTTATCAGCATAGTGTACGATTTCGCTTTTTACACTATGCTAGGAAACAGGGATGTAACAGCCGCAGTAAGGCTGTCCATCACTCAGACGACCAGCATGCCAGCCAGACAGCTTTTCTGTCTCTCCACTTCTCTGAAGAGAGAGAGAGAGAGAGGATTAGAAAAGGTCGACTCCCAAAATTGTACATCCCGACTTACCCCACCTACGGTGGTGGTGGTGTGTAGCCGGCGGTAAGTTTACTTATACCGAAAAACCAATCCAAGAAACAAGTTCATACAGACCGTGGGTGACTGGCCGGCCTCAAGCAGTTGTGTCCCCTAGGGTCAACTGTGGTCACGCAACACTTTCTTTCTGTTTCAGGTACCCGAAGAAGAAACGTTTTTTGATAGAGCTGTAACCGACCTACTTTACTTCTAAGTTCATTGAGTTCTATCAAAAATATATTATAAGTTCTCACTTTAGATGTACCTTAAAGATCAATGTACTGGCAGTATCATGTCACACTAAAATGTATCAGTTCAAGTTGACTTTATTGGTAACTTGTATATGTGAAGATTAAAATTACTTATCGTCAGTTTATGATTTTATTATTATTATTACTTTTGTAATGCATTATCTGATGAATGACAACTGATGGTGATCTGAACAGCTGTTTCGTCCTAGTTTGGGACTCTTCTCAGCACACGTAGTGGGTTCGAACCCCGGTGGTGGTTGCGTAGTGCTGAAGAGTCCCAAACTAGGCTGACGAATCAGCTGTTCAGTACTCCCAGGTTTTCCAATGGTTCTCTAACTGATATCAGTTCATGATAAAATCCTCCAACCAATCAAACAAAATCCCTCCTTACAAAACCAATGCTTGAGAATTGATGGAGATCTCTTTGTGGTTTTCCTGCTAATCAACATATAGGAGGTCTTCAGCTGACGAGTGAATGAGAGTCATTCTAATCCTGCAGTATAAACTCTTCGACTATGGATACACACCTTATCTGACAATTATAATAAATAAGAAGTGCAGCTTTTAAGTTTTAATATTCTTACCTATTGATTTGAAACTAAAATAAGTATTCTTCGTTGTTCCTTTATGTTCCCAGTGTGGAACGAACATAGGGTGCCTGTCTTCAAGCCGAAGAGGCTTAGCGAGTGAGGTAAAGGAGTGGGTCGGTAGTGGCCCGCCGGCCGATCAGTCGGGGAGCAAACGCCGAACCACATGGGGTGTAGGTGGTTGGAGACAAGTATTCTACTGCTGTGCCACAGACTCACTAACAGCTATTCGGTATAACTAATTCAGGTTATCATGTGAAATAGGTTGAAGTAGATATTTTGAGTTGTATCTGTTACTGTTTTACTCCTTGTGGTTGATTGATTGTTCGTGATTGACTAGTGTGTTTTATGGTATTAGAAAAGAGAAGGAATAATTGGACCCTACTACTACTATTACTACTACAATTGTGTTAGGTGTAAGCTGTGTAAATAACTTTCTAAAGCTATGTAGTATACATTCGTGTATATGTGTATATGTATGGCATATTTCAAACTACTTTCTATCATGGATTTTCATTTTTAGGCGATATTAACCCTGAAATTGGAAAAATGAATGAAATGTCGAAATCGAATGCACAATTGAATCATGATGAGAAAAGTGGTATTTCAGATGTAGATGATGAAGAAGATGAAGATATGGAAGCTTTCGTACAGAGTGGTATGCTTGATGAAGTAAGTGCGTTGTCTTATTAACAATACGATTTCACAGAAGTTGTTGTCTCTTAAAGTTTGTTTTGTATACTACGGAATGAAGTGTGCAAGCGCTGTGATTTTTCTTTACATTTTCCTTACATGGCTTGCCAGTTTACGCCGTCTCCGGCTTAGTAGATGTGATATCCGGCTGGTTGGCAGTAGGCCAGAGGACATGTGTACTGCTCAGCAGCATTTCGCTCCGTCCTCCTTTATGGCTGGCTGGCTGGCTGTGAGACACGGCCATTCACACAGTGGGAGACATGAAAAGACTGGCCAGCTAGCTGTCTTTGTTCATAGGTGTCTGTGTTCTATCTCCCGTGTCAGGTGGTGGTGTGTAATAGGGTGAGCAATATTGAGGTGAGGCATTGATCGGTCGAGTACTTGGTAAGGAGGGGAAATCAATAGACGAGATTGTGAAGTTACATCGATTGAGGTGGTTAGGACATGCATGTCTATCCATCGATTGCCTTCCTCGACAATGGGCAATGCTAGCCGACTGACTTATGTACGAACAGGCTGGGAAGGAGGCTGTGTTGGTGGTGGTCAAACTAAAACCAACATGGTTTCATCAGACGATGAAATCCACAACAGTTGGTTTAAGCCAGCCAGTTACTTAGGTAGGTGTAGACTTCCTCGCCGGCTGATCGAGGTCCTCGGGATGGTAAGAACCAATGGCGGCTGGATACAATCGGTGATATGCCTGGCTCAAAGTGATCGTTCTCGGTGATGGCTGGCTGACTCAGATGCATTCTCTCATTATGATTTATCATATCGAATATGATATATGCCCGGCCGATTACTGCTACCTTGTCGTGGTGGTCGGGCTTGAATACCGCAATGACCCAACAAGCTGAACTGACTGGGACTCTGTCTCTACAGGTCCTACCATGTCAGGAAGGTTTTCTGGATAGCGGTTAAACTAAAAGCAGTTACCATGGGGTACATGGGCTCCAGTTTCCAATCGGATCAAATGGCGTATGAACCCACATGGGTCACCGGCAACCATGGGAATGCAGCTCCTGACGCTGCTCCGCTGCCTTGCGGATTAGACTCCAAGTCAAAGGCTCGGGGGTGGTCCCTTTTTTTATAATAAAGCTTCGGTCTGGGCGCCCGGGCAGTATCTCAGCCCGCACACAATGAATGAATTAAAGCAACGAACTCCCATTGAAACTCAACGCGCGCTAGTAAAAATGATTCCAAGCAATATTGATCCCTCAAGGAACTTATTTCCTTCCTACCCTACTTTTATTTTTATACATAGTTTCCTGTATTGTACCTTTTCTAACCTTGGCTTCTTAACCTTCGACAGCCTTTCGCCTTTGTCGAGATTCCCAGCCTATCCGTGTCGTTTCGAGATGTTAGTGAGTAGTCCTCAAAATGGTTGTTCCCAATGTGACATCTAACACGGATATCCTGAAACCGCGTGCTGCGTTCAAGCTGGCTACCTACAATGTTCGGACGCTGATGCAAATCGGACAACAGGCAGGGTTGGCAAGAACTTTGGAAAGCCTCGCTATCGATGTCTGCTGCATTTCGGAGACCCGCATTCAAGATCCCAGTGAAGTGCTTCGACTATCCTCTCCATCTGGAAGTTCTAGTAGTATGTACCACCTGCGCTTATCCGGGGACCCTGTGGCGTCGGCATCCGGCGTAGCTGGTGTCGGTGTCGCACTGAGCGCTAGAGCCGAAGCTGCACTGCTCGACTGGATTCCCATTAACAGTCGTTTATGTGCTGTGAGGCTGGAAGGTTATACGAAAGTAAAGAGTAGTAGGCCAGATAGGCGGTGTCTATTTGTTGTCTCTGCCTATGCACCGACGGATTGCAGCCCGGATGCAATGAAGGATGAGTTTTACTACCAACTGAGCGATCTCTTGAAACAGGCGGGTCGGAGGGATATCGTAGTGCTGGCTGGGGACTTGAATGCACAGGTGGGGCGTCTAAGCTCAGAGGAGAATCGTCTAGGTGGTCAGTGGGGACTACATGGTCGCAGGTCAGATAATGGGGACCGTCTTCTGCAGCTTTGCGCGGATCACAACCTATTTCTAGCTAGCACCAACTTCCGGCACAGCCATCGCCGTAGCGCTACCTGGCGTCCTCCCTCTGCGAAGCAAGCTTGGACTCAGATTGATCATATCGCGGTCAGTTTCCGGTGGCGAGGATGCATACAAGACTGTCGCTCCTTCTGGAGCACATGCCTGGACTCCGATCATGCGTTAGTGTGTGCCAAGTTCGTCTTGCGATTTGGTGGGGTTCGTAAAAGCCGTCGTCTAAGCGTTGATGTGAGCAAACTAGTAGCACCTGCTACTTCTTTGAAATATCAGAATGAGTTAAAAACAATGCTTGCCAGCAACCCCCCAAGTAGTATAGATGAACATTGGCTTCATGTGCAAGGTGCCATGCAAAAGGCGAGTGTAGCCGCTTGCGGCTTGAAAGAATGCTCCGCTAACAACCACTGGGTTTCTGCGAGTTCCTTGCAACTCATGGATGAACGCCGGTCCATTCCGGCTGGCAGCGAATACAACAATCAGCGAAAGGCGCTCACGCGCAAGATTAGACAGTGTTTACGTAAGGACCGCGAAGCCTGGTGGTCAGAACGTGCGTGTGAGATGGAGTCAGCTGCTGCATCTGGCAACAGTCGGAAGCTGTTCCAACTCATACGAGCCACCGGCAGCAAGAAACAAGGTGTCAGCGAGACGGTCTGTGAGGCAGATGGCACTCCAATTACCAGCCTGAAAAGACGCCTGGAACGCTGGGCAGAGCACTTCGGGAAGCAGTTCAGCTGGCCACCAGCTTCAGTGTCTACTATCATTAGCCCGAGTGCTCCTTGGTCGGTTAGTACCGACCCACCCACCGAAGCGGAGGTCCGTAAGGAACTCCAAGTTCTGAAACGCCATAAGGCGCCCGGCCCAGACAAATTACCCCCGGCTCTTTTTAAAGATGGTGGCGAGACTCTCACAATGGCTCTAACTGGGTTGTTCAGGAAGGTGTGGGAGACAGAGAGTGTACCATCAATGTGGAACGAAGCCATTATCGTCCCCATCTTTAAAAAGGGTCGACGTAATTCGTGTGACAATCATAGGGGTATCAGTCTGTTACCAGTCGCGTCTAAAATATTGGCTGCTGTCTTGCTTCGCAGACTGTGCAAAATACGTGAAGGATTGATTCGCGAAGAGCAGGCTGGGTTTCGTTCAGGTCGTGGATGCATTGATCATGTGTTCACCCTTCGTCAGTTGTTGGAACACCGCCACACGTATTGCAGGCCAACGATCGTTGTGTTTCTTGATATTAGGGCTGCCTTCGATTCGTTGGACAGAACTGTGCTCTGGAACTGTCTGTTAGAGAGAGGTGTACCTGAGAAATTTGTTAACATCTTGAAAGCCCTATACAGAAACACCTCAGGTAGAGTGAGGGCATACAACCAACTATCACCACTGTTCCCAACCAACAGTGGGGTTAGACAGGGTTGCCCAATCTCTCCATTTCTCTTTAACTTTGCCATCGATGACATTCTGGAGTCAGCTCTGAAGGATGTGCGTGAAGGTGGTGTAGATCTGCTACCTGGAGATAGACTTTTCGACCTCGAGTATGCAGACGATATCGTCTTACTGTGCGATAGCATGCAGGCTGCCCAAATCGCACTTAATCAGTTGGCGATCAGTGTCTGTAAGTATGGTATGTGCTTTGCGCCGTCTAAGTGCAAAGTACTGTTACAAGATTGGCAGGAGCCTGTACCTGCACTCACTCTTGCGGGTGAACCGCTTGAAGTTGTTGATAAGTTTGTGTACCTGGGTAGTTGTGTGAGTGCTGGCGGAGGGGTGACGGATGAGATTTCCAACCGTATAATGAAGGCTAGGGTGGCATACATCAACTTGAGCCACCTCTGGCGCCGTCGCGACGTTAGCCTGGCTGTCAAAGGTCGGGTATACAATGCTTCGGTGCGGGCTGCGCTGCTCTACGCCTGTGAAACCTGGCCTCTCCGAGCTGAGGATGTGCGGCGACTCTGCGTGTTCGATCACCGCTGTCTCCGCAGGATTGCTTGCGTTCGATGGCATCATCGCGTGAGTAATTCTGAGGTTCGGCGGCGTGTGTTTGAACAAAGTGGAGATCACCATTCATTGAATGTCGTCATCTGGAAACACCGGCTCCGGTGGCTTGGACATGTGCTCCGAATGTCACCCCAGAGGCTTCCGTACAGGTCTCTGTTCGCTAGCCCTGGGACGGGATGGAAAAGGCGGAGAGGTGGTCAGTCCATGACGTGGCGTCGTGGGATGAAGGATTTTTGTGCTAGATTAGCATCGGTTGGTGTGTCACGACTCCCTGGTTGGGGTCCGAGAGATAGCTCAAATCGATGGCTCGAAACGTTATCGGATATGGCCAAGAATCGTAATCAATGGCGAATGTGTTGCAATTTCCTTCTTTCTTCCCTTCCCGATGATAGCTAACGAACACTGTTTGAACTTGTTAAGCATGACTGTTTTCCTTCCAGATGAAGTTCTTTATCCGTTCTCTACTTATATATATTTTTTCTTTTCCTTCCTTCCTTTTTTTGATCTATGTTGTTTTATTATTATTGTGTGGCGCATCTTTCTTGGTGCCATATTGTACCAAGTTTTTTATGCGTTTAAATAAATAAATAAATAATATAAATATATCGAATAAAATTAGATTGTTCTTTCGTATTACTTCTGTTTTCCGTCACACTTGTGTTTATTATTTCTGTCTCTTTTGAATTTCTCTTTACTCTCTTCTCTTTTTTTTTGTGTGTGGTAAGTGGAGTGTGGCTACTCGAACTGCTGCACCTCGGTGCAAAGTTCTACGTTGAAACCAATCACACAGTCAGTCATTTTGATAAAGTCAATTTTGTTAAGTATGCCGATGATTTTGACTGTTTTTAGTGCAGCATACTGCTGAATTAGACCTATCCAAAATGGATTAACTTTTTATCAGGAATTAGTTATTGATGTGCGTGTGTGTGTGT